TGAGCCACCGTGCCCGGTCCCTGGCCAGGTCTTATACTTTGCTCAGGGGACTTGGGGAAGGAGAACTTTGATTTAATCTAACACGTTTTTCAGATGTTCATTGTGGTACTTCTTACTCACTTTCACTTTTCAGCTGCCTCTGTAAGATCATCATACCTGCAGATCTGCTTGACGCAGTGAGTCCTGGTTGCCATCCTACATCATTCTGGAATCATGAGTGCTGTGTGTGTTCATAGATGATTCTGATGTGTGGAATATCCACTACTGTCTCCATCATTATTTTAGGTTTCAATGAATACTTTTGAGCCACTGATTCAATCTAATATGACCCAATAGCAATGATAAAGACTGTAGATTTACTAAACAGAAATAAGCAAATGTTGCGAAACATATTAACCAGAATGAACTGTATCCTGTTAATTGAATGTTATTTAAGAACATTTGATTAATATCATCTTCGTGGAAAATGCTCAACATTTAAATATGCAGGGGCTATTAGGAACAAAATGAGATTTCTGGGAAATCATTACTTTGTTACATTTTCAATTTATGAAGTGTGACTACAACTGTTTCATTTGGGAAAGGAAAGTAGCTCAGAGCGGTCGGAAGAATCTGAGGAATGCAAAATTTATCAGAGAGACAGGAGAGTCTCATTAACCCTATGCACAGGGTTAATTGTTTAAAGGCATTTTGTACTTTTCTTTTATTCCCTGTAGTTTCCAGACTAGCTGATAAATTACCTAAAATGCTATGAGTTGCACAATGTGACCCTCACCCATATCTTCATGTTTCTGGAATCTGCGATACAAAGAACAACGTACAGCCAATCAATTGCTTATGCTATTTTGAGTCACCGTGGCATGCACCTGTAATCCCAGCTACACGGGAGGCTGAGGTGAGAGATCACTTGAGTACAGGAGTTCAAGACCAGCCTGGGTAACACAAGGAAACCTCGTCTTAACAAGAAGAAGAAGAAAAAAGAAGCTTACGGTATTTTAATGAACCAATGTAAATACTTGGTAAACAACTTTAGAACTACCCCTTCTTCTTTCCCTTTAAAAACCCACTTATAATTGCAGATTGGAGCATATATTCTGGGCAACTTGAATCAATGTCCCCAGGGTTGCAGTCCTCAAACTTGGCTCACATAAGCTCTCTACTTACATTAATTTCGCCTCGGCTTCTTCCTTTAGGCCAACACATTGCCTTTTCCTCTGAAACCCCAAAGCAGCTGGGCTCACTGCAGCGATTACGGGGTTCCATGCTTTGGGAGTGCTGGTCTAAGTGAGAAGACTCCTTGGTGAGGAGATGAGAGCCCACAGGAACATGAAGATTCCCCTGCAGAACGCAGGCCTTTTAAACTCCTCCCTCGTGGCTTTCACTTGGAATCAGCTGGAGGCTCCATCAAGCCAAACAAGACAACATCTGCCCCTTTTTCAGTTCTCTCAGCTGTCACTTTTCATCTAGACTTCATCAGCTCCTGCCTGGTCTTTCCCCAAAATGCCTAATGGGCTTTCCTGGTTGATTCCCTTGATTTCTTGCCCTTGAGTCCGGCTGTCTTCCCAGGGGAGCCGCTTGTCTGGCGTGGCAGCCGGCACAGAGTAGGCACTCAGTCATTTTAGGCCTTCTGCTCTAGTTGTCAGAGGGTGAATTGACAACACGATTGACAGGGAATGCAATTTGCTACTACTGATACAACAATCAGAACCGAAAATATGACCATCAGACTTACCTCCTCAGAGAGGGGGGAAAAGTCTGTGGTCTTGGCCAGGAACAGATCAGTTGAGTGCATTTATATACCAACACAATGGATGACAAAGGTGACAGTGTCCTGTCACGATGGCTTCAGGGAATGAGCGGTGTGGGCAGCTCAAACAACCCATCTTGTGCTAACATGGAGGGAGAGAGCTCATCAATCCTGAGCAGATA